TTTCAGTGCTATCAGGCTAAAGTTAGCATTTTCCAAGATCTCCTACTGCACCTTTAATGTCATGAAGTGTGCGATTAATCGCAATTAATCACAGAAAAAGGAGGTGATTAATCATTTTTTTTTTTATTATCGATTGACAGCCCTAATATATATATATATATATATATATACACCTGTCAGGATTATAATCTGTTTTGTTTTAGTTTTTCTGTGTTTACTCTGTTCCTGTCGGCCTACTGTAATTTCCTATATAGTTTCCTCATCTGTTAATTAGTCCCACACACCTGTTTCTGTTCTCCCTGATTACTCTCCTTGTGTATTTATGCTCTGAGTTTCCTTTGTTCCATTGTCTGGTCTTGTTTACAGATACTTTTATGTGAATGTGTAATGACTTCTGTTATTTTCTCCTTGATTATTAAAGTATTTTCTAGTGCTATTTCTGGATCGTGAGTGGTAACCGTTACCATGGTACATGTCCAAAAACAGAGTAATGTCATGGTACTTTTTTGTATTTGACTGTACTTTGGGGTATACTGTCAGGTACTTCAAAAATCACCACGGTAGCATCCAAAACCTATAGTACCATGACAAAATGCATAGTATTACCATGTTACAGGTCCAAAAACACCATATCAGAATGGTACATGCTAATATGTCTATTACAGACCGTGACCAATTTGACCAACTCAAACCCGAAGAAAGGCATTAATTGAGCTTTACAGTATGTATTAGTGTTCTGCCAGTGAGTGTCTTTTGTCCTTGAGGAACACTCTGTGAGTGCTCAATGGATCGCAGCTGGAACAGAGCCAGGCAAATGCACCAGAAAGCAGCACAGACCTTCACCAAGTGTATCTGCCCAAGATACACTATTTAACATAGAAAATCAGGATTTTCTTTGTTCTTTCAAAAATAAAAGAAATGTAATGTAGTATGCAGATATACACCAGAAACAAGTGGCATGCCACAACTTGTCTAACTTCAGCACCTAATTTTCTGTCTGTCTGAAATAAAATGATTTTATTCACAAATCGCATGAGTGAATTGCCTGAATTTACATTTTAATAATGTTTGTGCATGGTAAATGGTTAGTAAACTAAATTGAGACTTGTTGGTGCAAGAAAACGTTGTGGAAAAAAATAAAAATGTGAGAAAAGAGACATTATGGTCCCTATAAAATATTCCAGCTGCAAGCTAATGGTCAATGTTAATTATTCAAGATTACAAAAAATCATTGTCTTGTTTTCCAGCTAAAATATACAAATATCCTTAAAAGAAGAAACATTTACTTGAGAAACCAAATCGCATAAGATATTAAGACCTTGAATTATGTTTATTGTTCTCAATCTATTGGCAAACAGTTCTTGTTTTAAGCATGAATACAATTCAATGAAGTTTACAAACAATTTAATTCAATGTTCAAGGTCTTCATTTCTTACATCTAAATAGACTTTGCATATCTTAAGCATATTTTGTTTCTCAAGTAAATTTATCTTGATTTAAAGATGTTGGATATTGTAACTGGAAAACAAGATAAAATACTGACTGAGAGGATTTTTTTTTTTTTTGCTGTACATTACAGAAAACACTCATGACATGCAACTTCAGAATAACATTGAAATCTTACGCTTGTGTGATTGTTTGCTATGGTTTTTATTTGTTACATCTTTCAATTATGTTTTTGCAGGGTAATTGGTCATGTAAAACTAAATTGTGACTTGTTGGTGCAAGAAAATGGTAAGTGAAAAAAATAATATTTGAGAAAAATGGCAATGCTGCCCCTATAAAATATGCTAGCTGCAAGTCAGCAGTCAATGCTAATTATTCAAGACTACAAAAATCATTTTGACATGTTTTCCAAACATTCTTAAAACAAGATACATTTATTTGAGAAACCAGATTGCATACGATATTAAGACCTTGAATAAACGTTGTTTTTTTTACTCCATTGGAAAATTGTTCTTATTTCAAGCATGAATTTAATTAAAGTTTTGAGAATCACCCTTCAATCTTTTGGTTTACTTTGCTGGATATAGCAAATGATGACAAAATAAACATTTGAAACAAGATAAATGGTCTATGCTTAATTTCATGAAGTGTGCGATTAATCGCGATTAATCACAGAAAAAGGATGTGATTAATCAGGTTTTTTTTTTTTATTATCGATTGACAGCCCTAATATATATATATATATATATATATACACCTGTCAGGATTATAATCTGTTTTGTTTTAGTTTTTCTGTGTTTACTCTGTTCCTGTCGGCCTACTGTAATTTCCTATATAGTTTCCTCATCTGTTAATTAGTCCCACACACCTGTTTCTGTTCTCCCTGATTACTCTCCTTGTGTATTTATGCTCTGAGTTTCCTTTGTTCCATTGTCTGGTCTTGTTTACAGATACTTTTATGTGAATGTGTAATGACTTCTGTTATTTTCTCCTTGATTATTAAAGTATTTTCTAGTGCTATTTCTGGATCGTGAGTGGTAACCGTTACCATGGTACATGTCCAAAAACAAAGTAATGTCATGGTACTTTTTTGTATTTGACTGTACTTTGGGGTATACTGTCAGGTACTTCAAAAATCACCACGGTAGCATCCAAAACCTATAGTACCATGACAAAATGCATAGTATTACCATGTTACAGGTCCAAAAACACCATATCAGAATGGTACATGCTAATATGTCTATTACAGACCGTGACCAATTTGACCAACTCAAACCCGAAGAAAGGCATTAATTGAGCTTTACAGTATGTATTAGTCTTCTGCCAGTGAGTGTCTTTTGTCCTTGAGGAACTCTCTGTGAGTGCTCAATGGATCGCAGCTGGAACAGAGCCAGGCAAATGCACCAGAAAGCAGCACAGACCTTCACCAAGTGTATCTGCCCAAGATACCTGGAGACATACGGCTGACGGCGAGAAGAGGTGGTGAGGGGAGGTGGATGGATAAACATGTTTGTGAGGGAGAAAAATACAGTATTTGTGCCTGTGCGGTTTTTATGGTTTTGTGGCTTTCATGCTGTTGAAACGGATAACTGCTGCAAAGCTGAACAAAATGCAAGATAAAAAAATAAATAAAAAAAATAACCGCTGGAGTCTATTAAAGTTGGACATTTTAACATAGAAAATCAGGATTTTCTTTGTTCTTTCAAAAATAAAAGAAATGTAATGTAGTATGCAGATATACACCAGAAACAAGTGGCATGCCACAACTTGTCTAACTTCAGCACCTAATTTTCTGTCTGTCTGAAATAAAATGATTTTATTCACAAATCGCATGAGTGAATTGCCTGAATTTACATTTTAATAATGTTTGTGCATGGTAAATGGTTAGTAAACTAAATTGAGACTTGTTGGTGCAAGAAAACGTTGTGGAAAAAAATAAAAATGTGAGAAAAGAGACATTATGGTCCCTATAAAATATTCCAGCTGCAAGCTAATGGTCAATGTTAATTATTCAAGATTACAAAAAATCATTGTCTTGTTTTCCAGCTAAAATATACAAATATCCTTAAAAGAAGAAACATTTACTTGAGAAACCAAATCGCATAAGATATTAAGACCTTGAATTATGTTTATTGTTCTCAATCTATTGGCAAACAGTTCTTGTTTTAAGCATGAATACAATTCAATGAAGTTTACAAACAATTTAATTCAATGTTCAAGGTCTTCATTTCTTACATCTAAATAGACTTTGCATATCTTAAGCATATTTTGTTTCTCAAGTAAATTTATCTTGATTTAAAGATGTTGGATATTGTAACTGGAAAACAAGATAAAATACTGACTGAGAGGATTTTTTTTTTTTTTGCTGTACATTACAGAAAACACTCATGACATGCAACTTCAGAATAACATTGAAATCTTACGCTTGTGTGATTGTTTGCTATGGTTTTTATTTGTTACATCTTTCAATTATGTTTTTGCAGGGTAATTGGTCATGTAAAACTAAATTGTGACTTGTTGGTGCAAGAAAATGGTAAGTGAAAAAAATAATATTTGAGAAAAATGGCAATGCTGCCCCTATAAAATATGCTAGCTGCAAGTCAGCAGTCAATGCTAATTATTCAAGACTACAAAAATCATTTTGACATGTTTTCCAAACATTCTTAAAACAAGATACATTTATTTGAGAAACCAGATTGCATACGATATTAAGACCTTGAATAAACGTTGTTTTTTTTACTCCATTGGAAAATTGTTCTTATTTCAAGCATGAATTTAATTAAAGTTAGTGAGGTTTATAAACAATTTGCTGATATGTAAGGAGAAATATAGATCAAGGTCTTAAGTTCTTATTTCTAAATAGACTTTGCATATCTTAAGCATATTTTGTTTCTCAAGTAAATTTATCTTGAGTTAAAGATGCTTCTGGAAAACCAACGTGATCTCATGATAATTCGTATGTATTTTACGTAAAATGTGGTTCTATAAAACGTACATTTACGTACGTTTTTACAGGCACTAAAACGTACAATACTGACGTATTTTCAGCCTACTGTATTCCGCCAGAGAGGACTGCGGGTGCAACGCATCGTCATTTGGATTACTTTTGGTACTGCTTTTGACATTTTTGCAATAAATAAATGATTGTAATGGCATCTGTCTGTCATGTTTTTCTTATACTGTACAGAAATGTTTAGGTTTATAGGTAGGAGTGGAATTAGCGACTATAAAAATATTTTAATGCTATATTGTTACTAAAATTGTTATTTTCCTGCGTATTTCGGTCATTTGCGTTTTATATCCTTTTATATTCGCTCTATATGGGTAGGTTAAGGTTTGGGGATAGGTTAAGGGGTCTAAAAATCTAAATTGCGTATTAATAAAATGCTAAAAATGCATAGTCGCTATAAAATGGGTAGGTTTAGGTTTGAGGGTAGGTTAAGGGGTCTAAATCGCTTATTGATAAAATGATAAAAATGCATTGATACGAATATCTTGATGATATAAAAGATACGTAAATATTTTTACGTTTTTTAGCTAAAAATACGTAGCGATTTGTACGTTTTAAACGTTGAAATACGTCTAAATTGTATGTTTTAGCATTAATAAAAACGTACAAAAGTGTACGTTTTGTGCTAGTAAATGTTACGTATTAATACCTACGTATAAACATGAGACCAGGCTGGGAAAACAAGACATGTGAAATGTTTTTGCAGTACAATACTGAAAACACTCATGACACATAACTTCAGTAGAACTCTGAATCTTACACTTGTATGATTGTTTTCGAGTCGCCAACCTCTCCACCGTCTCCGACAGTCAACGTATCATATCCCAGCTCCAAGTCGAACTCTTCGAAATTGATTTGAATAACCTGCGATGGGAACAAAATCACTGAATTAGCGTTAGAAGTCTTTGTAATGGAACGCCACTCGAGTCAATGAAGCACCTTGACCGGAGGGATTTCTCCATATGCTCTCAGTTACAGAGAATGAGTAGTGTGCATTCCACACCGCCTTAATTAAGTTTCTCAGTACTAGAGCGCTTCAGACATCATCAAATATAAATGATACACACTATTCTCAATAAATATGATATTCATGAGCTCACCGGGGCCAGCACTCGGCTGCAGCATATGTCGCCTGTATATTTCAGCACATTTGCTCGTACCCTCTGCGGCCCCATTGAACCGAGGCGCTATAACCGAAAAATTCAGCGGGGGCAATGCATCAATTACCCAACAAATCATTTGCACAGTCCAATGAATGTTGAGGGTAAAACAAATTTCCGAGAGTGCTTTCAATCAGCGGCTCAAGTTCGCAAGTAAACATTCGAGAGACGTGCTCCTCTTGTTCCGTGTTATTTCAAACGCTCACTTGTACATTAACAACGTCCTGTTTGCATAATCACCCCCCGGTGTGCGTTTGGAGACAGTGGGGAGCTGCCGCTGCTCACATTTAGTTAGACACCATGAAAACTGGCCTTCTGGCACTTTTACGGCACACTGAGGAATGAAACACGCACATAAGGTATAATGGTGCTTCTTCGACGGCTGACACTTCTGTGTCTCGTGGGTTGATTTTTATTAACGCTAACAGATTTCAACTTGGCTTCTCTTTGATAAATGAAGGTCACATTAAAGTCCTGGAAAGTTTTCACCATGCCTTCTTGCTGCTTTTCAAATACTTCTCTTTCATGTTGTCCCAGAACCAGACTTTTAAATATTAAAATATGAAGAATAAAATATGAAAGAAACATGAATTCGCACATATGTCATAAAACTTTGATCTAAACAAAGAATGACAAACAAACTATTACAATATGCCCTCACTACATTTTTAAAAGTTTGGGGTCAGTATGATTTTTTTAAAATGTTTTTTAAAGATGTCCCCAAGGCTGCATTTATTTGATCCTTTACTTGATCAAAAACAGCAATATTGTGAAATATTATAAAAATTTTAAATGACCATTTTCTCTCTGAATATATTTTCAAAATTAATTTAAAACAGTGATCATGTGATGGCCAATGCTGCATTAATTTGATCAAAAATGCAGTAAAACAGTAATATTCTCAAATATTTTTACGATTTAAAATAACTGATTTTCATTTGAATTTATTTTAAATTAAAATGTAATTTATTTCTGTGATGCAAAGCTGAATTTTCAGCATCATTACTCCAGTCTTCAGTGTCACATGATCCTTCAGAAAACATGCTAATTTGCTGCTCAAGAAACATTTCTGATTATCATCTTTTTTCTTTTTTTTTTTTAGGAGTTTAGGATTCTTTGATGAATAGAAAGTTAAAAAGAACAGCATTTATTTTTTTTATGTATTTAAAAGAATATTTTTGTAACATGATAAAATGTTTTTGCAACCAGTTCTTATCAATTTAGTATTAATAAAAGTATAAATGTCTTTAAAAACCCTAAACTTCTGAAACATTTGAAAGAGCACTTCAAGCCATTACAATATGCACTGTATTGCATGAAAACAATTTTTCAATAAACTTTTTTCAATAAACATTTTCAAACTATTATATGATATAAAGAATAATATTTATAAATAAAATGATAGCTATGCAATTAGCTTTATAGCAAGACAAAGGAGTCAGCCAATTTGTAACAAAAATCAGAATGTATTCAAAACCAAGTACATTATTTGAGAAATGGCATTTTATTTTAAATGTACATTAGTGTACATTTAGTATATACATTGTACAAATGTACTTTTGAGATGATGTATAAACACCCACTTGCTGTTGAAGAAACATCCATATACTGTATGTGTGCACAGGAGATCCATATGCAAAAAAAAAAAATCTCTTACAGCTCTTACACTGATATTATTAGTGGTTTACTAATGAACACAATCAGGCAACCATAAGAAAGTCCTGCTTCATCCCCTTAAGTTCATATATTAACTTCATTTATTGTGTTAACACAATAATAATGCCAATGAGCTGCCCATGGGTCTCTAATAATGGGTCTGCGGAAAACGCAATAAAATTTGAACTTTGCAATTCCGTCGGGCGAAGATAAATGAGGTAATAATGTTATGTTTGTTAGGGCTCATTTGCATTTCTCACCAGTGGAACGCTCAGATTTAGCAGCAATTGAGGACACGAATCAGCTATTTGCTGGTTGTTAATGGCCTGGCATGAAATGGGAATGAAAAAAAATGGAAAACCAACACCTGAAATGTGCCGTTTGCGGCAAGAGATCATGGAAAGAAAAACCGTTGACTCACAAAAACTACTGTAAAGTGCATATCATTCATACATATAATAGTTAAGAATCTTGTCAGTGTTTTTAAATCAGAATTGCATTATTTGAGGTGCTGTAGAAGAAGATGATGTTTTTATTGATGAGGACTAATCTGTCTTGCACAACGGGGCACAAGAGTCAGGAGAGCGATTTCAGTCCTAATGTAGATACTGATACCTCATCAGGAATCTCTCGCAACAGCAGGTTTTAACAAGCAAAAAAAACAATAAAAAAAATCATTTAAAAATCAAAACAGCTTATTTATTACAGCTATTGTTAGTATTGTAAAACAATTAAAAAAAAAGAGAATAATTTTGGAACTACATGTTGTATTAAATTTTTAGATATAAGATATTGACATTCATAAAAAAGCCTTTGATTTAATTTAAGAAAATTATATATATATACACCGGTATATATATATATATATATATTTTTTTTTTTTTTTCATTAAATCTGTAAATTTTGCTAAATGGAAATTATGTTTATTTTTTAAATTACTATTTTTGCTAAATTAATATTTTTAAACATTTCATATTAAAATGATTATATGACTGTAAATGCATTTAAAAAGCTGACCATGGTTTTAAATGCCAAAACACCTACAGCTACTATTAGTATTGTAAAACAATTTGTAAAAAATTATAGAATCGTGTTGAAATCATCTCTTATTTTATTTATTCATTTATTGTTTGTTTGTTTTTGTTTATTAAATATGTAATTTTTTAAGTATAAGTTATTGATGTTTTCATTTAAAAAATTTATTTAGATAAAACAGAAAATAACATTAAATGTGTATATTTTTGCTAAATTAATAGTACATTTATATTTAAATTAATAGTTTTGCTAAATTAATATGTATATAAAAAAACTCATATTTAAGCAAATAAAATAGAAAAGGCAGGCTTCCAACAGCGCAACGCTAAAGAAAAGCATCTCGAAAACAGAAGTAAATCTTATCATATAAGAAAAATGTAATCACTGTAAATTCATTTTTTAAAAGTGACCATGGTTTGAAATAACAAAACACCCTATTTACTACAGTTACTGTTAGTATTGTAAACCAATAAAAAATGATGGAATCACATTGGAACTACTTTTTTTTATTAAATATGTCATTTTAAGATATAAGATATTGACATGTTCATAAAAAGCTTTGGGTTTGAGTCAGATATGGAGCGATGCGTGTTATTATTGTACCTTATTGGGGTTACTGGCGGTGATAATCCAAACACACTGCGAGTTACTCTCATACTGGATGGGGAAATTAGGCGATGTAAACGTTCCTGAAGGGCCCAAGAGGTTCATCCCACATGTTTTCACTGCAAAAGGGTGAAATACAGAGAAGAACTCATTTATAATGAATTAGAGAAGACTAACATACACACACAAAAGGTTTTGTGGACAGAAGTACAACTTTAAAGGTGATTTTCTCAATATTTAGATTTTTTTGCACCCTCAGATTCCAGATTTTCAAATAGTTGTATCTCGGCCAAATATTGTCCTATCCTAACAAACCATACATCAATGGAAAGCTTATTTATTCAGCTTTCGAAAAATTGACCCTTATGACTGGTTTTGCGGTCCAGGGTCACAAATGAATAGATTCTTCAAAAAGAAGATTTTTTTTCAGCATTTATTCACCATGTCCACGAAAAAAGAAAAAAAAAGATTAGGCATAATGTCCAAGCTGCTTTTTTATATAATAAAAGTAATTTACTCTCAAGCTCAAGAACAAAAAAGCACTAGAAAATGCACAAGGTTTGGACGTCATTGGTTCACCATTGGATAACTATCCACTTTTGTTGAATGACAAATGGGTTTTTTGTAGAAGGCAATAATACAGGTTTGGAACAACAGGAAGTAAATTTTCATATCTGAGTGAAATATTATTTTAAAACTCAGCTGTTATCAGTCTCAAGAATCAATGGTATTGGATTGTAGGATCCCGGGACATCAGTAGATCAGATGTCTGGTCTAATCCTGCTCAGACGGTTTATTGAAGGCAATGGTCTAACCTTTACAGACGGGTCTGTGGTCACTCCAGGCCGCGAACACCTCAGCGACCCTCTGGCACGTGATGCTCTTGGATCCCTGAAGCACGTGGTCCCCGTCACAGGTGAAATGGACCGTCGCACCGATGCTGAACAAACGTAAGCCAGGGAATCAATGAAGGAATTCTCCTCGAGCGCCTCCCACGCATCCCGACAGATTGATCAGTGCTGCGTGCTGCGGCCTCATGTCAGAGCAAATGTCAGGCAGGAATATAATCAGGGATTTCATTCCTACTGAAAAACCTTAGCATAGGGATCCTTGAGGAAATGTTCCCATGACTTTTTGTTTCCATTCCCAGTTTTGTCCCCACTTTGCAAAATAGCTTTACGTAATTTATTCCTTTTTTATGTTTTGTTGAATGGTCATTGCGACTGTTATCAGAATTTCACAGTGTCAATATGTATCAGTAATACTTTACAATAAGATTGAATCTATTCAAATTAGAAAAATTAAACGCATTAAAACAAAAATATTAAATGCATAAATCTTTGCTAAATTAAAATTAAAATTTATATTTCCTAAATTAATATGCAGCTAAAAAAAAATTAATTTAAGAAAATTTTACATAACATATAACATCATGGGTATTTATGCAAAACTAATATTAAATAATGTAATTTTTAGAAAAAAATATTTAGAAAAAAACATTAATATAAGCAAGCAAAATATATATTTACATATATGTTAATAAAATATAACATTAAATGTTTTTTTTATAATTTAATACAATTTATATATTTAACTTAATAGTTTGCAAAATATTAATATTTAAGCAAATAAAAAAGTAGATATAAAATTAAATGTGTAATGTTAAAGCAAATTAAATGCATATTCATTTCATCACTTACTGTATATTGTATATACTGTATATCTACAAGAAAAAAATAACATCATGAGTATTTTTGCTAAATTAATATTTAATAAATAACTAAATAATTTTTGCTAAATAAATATTTAGAAAAAAAATAATATTTCAGCAAATGAAATATTATATATTTGCATATGTATTGATAAAATTTCATATTATTTTTCACTAATTTAATAAAAATGATATTTATTTATATTTATAAAAAATAAATAAAAAATAATAGATAAATAAATCCTAATATTTAGCAAAAATTATTCTCATCTTGGACAATAAAAAAGAAAATATTTCATTAAATGTGTCATTTTTGCTGATTTAATATAAATTAATTTAATATTAAAAATGTATTTCATATTAAATATTTCAATTAATATTTTGCTTAAATAACATTTAAGCAAATAAAATAGAATCTATAAGATTAAACATGTAATGTAATGAGAACAAAGTATGTCAAACATATAAACTCAGTGCTAATTGTTGTTTCATTCATTTTGGATTCTTGAATGTTACTGTTTACATTTCGGTTTCAACTTGTAATTGAGCAAAAGAAGCTATTAAAGACTTCAGTTTATAAGCTATCAAAACAGTAAAAGATCATATTAAACTATTTGTGCATGACATAATTAATATCCATGAGCTATCCTATCACAACTGCATGACATCACAACTGTCCCCATCATTTTCCTGAAACAAAACTGCATCTATGTGTCTGGTGCGAACAGCCTGTCTACCTGTAATTGGTGCCATTGCGTTTGCCGTTCTCTGGTTCCCCGGGGTCCGGGCAGAAGTTGGAGACCTGCTTGACCATCCCTTCATTCACTGTGGGAGGAGAAAGAGCATATGGAGACATAAGCCAACACGAAACCATCAGCCTTCATCACCTGTGATCACTTTCTCTACATAACACATCCTCGGTTATCAGACATCGAGTTTCATCCTCAATCAAAAGAGATTTGGCGCAATATCTCATCCATAAGTAGGTGTTGGCGCACGATAATTACCGCAGGAGGCGACGTTATGCGGGTAATTTAAGGGAAGCGTTTAGAAATGGGTATTTGGCAGCAGACCGAGGTCCTGAATAAGACCCGAAAATTCACTCATAACTCATATTTCTGAATGCGTGATGCAGACACTGTGAAATAGAGGCTCATAAAAATTCTATCCAGTTGTAATTAAGTGTTTGGAGTGCTACATTGTCGAGGATGAAATGAATCAGTTTGCATTTCATTACGACGCTGGTGCACGTGGATCCATAAATAAAGGACTTGTTCACTTTCGCTGCATGCACAAATCATTTCCATAGATAGCGATCGGGCATCTGCCGGAGCGTGTGGCTCGGGTCTGTATCCAGGTTAGGCTGGTGGTTTGGATGGTCAGTAATTAAACTCAGTTGGAGTGAAATCCCACCACCTGTGTGCCTTCTAAAGCCGCTCGCTTCGCAGATTTGACATTCTCTTCCGAAGAGCTTCTGTGGGTGAGGGACCTCTAAGTCAAGCTAAGCTCAATTAATCAAAATGCAGATTTCTGTTTAGTTGGATGCTCTAATTTCCTTTGATCCATTTGCTAAATGGCAAGCGAGAGGATTACAAAAATGTGGCATTGTTCACGCTTTATGAATCACAGGCTTTGAAGGTGTAGATGCGAAATCACCGGCGGAATAACATCTACGGAATATTAAACAATTAACAGGGATGCACATCAGAAAGAAATTAAGCAGCGAATAGCTTTTATGACATTAGAGCAACAGTATTAACAGCCATAATTACGCATGACATGCAGCAGCACTGGAGAGCAGATCTTAAAGTTGCTTGGTTTTTACTTGAACGAGCCTACATAATGAGCTACACACACACACAAAAAAAAAAAACTGTAAAAAAGCTATATTTTTTGGGGACTACAACCATGGTATTCTATGAGAGAGCCAAATAAACATTGGTTGTTTAAGGTTGCCTAACATATTAATCACAAAAAAAATAGCAATTTGACACGTTAAAGTTCACCCAAAAGTGAAAATTCTGCAATCATTTACTCACCCTCAAGTTGTTCCAAAACTGTATGTCTGACTTTCTTCTGTTAAAAAAAAATTATATACTGTATATACTGTATATATATGTATATACAGTATGTGTGTATATATA